ATTTTATTAATTTCATATTCTCTCTCCTCCAATTCTCTCAACTATTTTTGTTTTTTACAATTTTTTATTCTTCCACCTACCCTACTACCTCCATATTTTATTACTTTCTCCAATTTCTCTTAAAACTCTACTCATGGAGAAATAAAGTAAGTATTTAAAAACGAAGGAAGTACTATAAATTATATGGTATGGATAAAAAATAATTTTAAAGAATAATTAATCCGTACATATATGAAGTATATACACATGTATCAACGGTAATGGATGCAGTAAAGTTTATTCTCTGGAATTTAGTGAAGTATATTATAAGTATCATAGTAATTATTAATTTAACTCCTCATCTAATCAGGTCATAGTGTTGATACATTAAAAAATTGTTTTGGTAAATTTGAAAGCACCTAGCATTTTCAACGTACTATAGACATCAATCTTAGTAACAAGGTGTGATGTACAGTATTACTCGATCTGAAAATACTCAAATTATCTACCTCATGTACACAATAAGAAGCATTGGTCATCATCTCCGCATTCATTTGATCCCCACCTCACCGGCCTCTTTCTCCCTTTTGTTCTCCCTCCTTTTTCGTAATAATTTATGATCTTCATTTGTATTTCGTATAATAGAAAAAAACAAAAGAGATTGATACAAATGCATTAATGATCCAAATAATTGAAGCACTTGTGTAAATTCCAATACTATACGCATGAGTCCAAGCTAAATGTCATTTTCAATAATGTTTATTACGAGTTTATAAAATATGAGGCACTAGGGCAAAGATAAGTGTATTGAGGGCCATAGTGTGCAGAGATTTTTTAAATTTATAAAAAGTCATAATTGAAATTGACACTTACTATAAATAGCGATAAGAATTGTGCTATACTTGGATAGTTGGACGATTTAATAGCTCACTTCATTGCTTTTTAGTTACAGTAATCTTGTCTAATTAAGCCAATTAGGACATGTAACTTCATCAGGATGGATTCAGGTAGAAGCTTCAATTTGATGACATATATAGACAACAATGACAAGCTACTCTTAAGCTAACTCATTGAATAGTAGCTAGGTTAATTTAATTAAATTAAAAGCAACCCTTTTTTTCAAAACGTTTTACGATGTAGATATTACAGAATAGCCAGCTCTGGTAAAATTTAAGTACATTTTTCACAATCCGTGAAATTAAATTCTGTCTACACCTATCACTGCTAATTATTTGCATTTAGCATTCCGCCATAATATTTGTTTTGTCTTACTTAAGGGTATTTAATTAATTAATAATTCAATATGTATTATAACACACTATATATACACTTTATATATTTTTTGAGTTTAAAAATAGTAGCCGCATATACTTTCACACAAAGTCTTTATATATTTGTCACACTCATCATACGTAGTATGTCACACCAATTTAAATTTTCAACTTTTGGCGGATTTGATAGGCCAAATCAATTTCCTTTTTAAAATATGTGCTATGGAGAATTTGAGACTTTTATTTTGAGTAGTCAAAATAGACAACGTAACTACATAAGATGAGAAGGTCGAGGAGATAAATAAGCCTAAGAGGCTAAGACGCCGGTATGTTGTGGAATAGGGGTGTGGAATAATCGAGAAGATTAACTACAATTATATCTAGAATGTTAGTCAAATTCTTTGATTAAGACTCTTGTTTGTTTTCTCCAAATATTCCGATTTCAAATTAAACTTCTTGATGGATCAAGTGGCAGTCCTATTATTAGGATTTGACATAATATATACTCCTTGCATCATTATAGGAGTATTTGTCAAATACGGAGTACTCCGTATGTTGTGTTTGTATTATTTCTCTACTTAGTTAAAGTTTCCCCCTCCCCTTATATGATATATATGCTTTTTAATCTCGTGAGGAAGGTCTCCTAATGTCTTTTATTTTTCTTATCTTCGTAATAAAAGTCCATTTTCTTATTTTGAGAAAGTTTTTATAATCAAATGTGATAAGTTAAAAAATTACATACGAGGATGAAAAAAAGATAAAGGTATCATTTCTTAATAAAAGTTATTTGAAATAAAAAGTGTAATTGTATTATTGACCTTAAAAAAATGTGCTCAATTTTGAAAAAAAAAGGTAAAATGAAAATGTAGAATTAAAGTTGAGTAACAACTTTGTGTCAATATTAATGACTCAAGGACAGAGCATGCATGACAGAATTGCTCTGAAAAATATTTTTGTATGATTGAAAGAAAACATTGGAGTGCTTGACGATGCATACACAAAGAATGTAAATTGAGACACCAGTATGCATAACCTGTAACTTCTTAGAAGCAATCTTGCAAGAATTGTAACGTTGGGTGAAAAATAGCTACAATTAACTAGACAAATATACTTCGTGTATACGACTATAAGAAAAACCATGAATAAGCATTATTAAGGATATTTTGACGAATATAAATTATTTAGCTAATAACGCCTTACTTATATTGACAATCCTTGACTATCTATACATTTATCTTTCATTACGTAACTTAGTAACACCTAACAAACGGGCAGCTTATGTACATGTATAATTGTCCCGTGCAATATCATCAACAATCGTATTATAGTCATTTTGAGCCCTCGTTCCCCCCTGCCCAAACTTGTTGCTACTCCGAAGTTGGGTAGTTACTGAGTTGACTAGATCAGAGTATACTACACTATTAAACGAATTAGGAGAAGGGGAGTACATAAGTCAATGGAAAGCAAGGGCAATGTAAATGCTTGGGAAATTACGAAAGATAACGACTTTTTTTTTTTTTAGTAACTAGAAAATCAATTCAAGTGTTATTTCTAGGTATTACAACTTTACAAGTATGATAATTGGTAATAACTCAATTTCATGGAAATAACTCACTTTGGAAATTCATTGGTTGTTTCGTGCAGATTACAGAGGACTTGGGAATTGGTTTTTTAACGGATATTTCTGACCTGTATTTCTTGATTTTAGCCTTCATTTGTTATAAGAATTAGTGTCAAGCTTTAACTCAAATCTAACATATTCAAGCATATTCCTTTTTTTTTTTTTTTTTTTTTTTTTTAATTTTCTTTTTGCAATAATACTGAGGTACAGGTGAATATGCCAATCTAGTGTATGATGCAGTATATCTGTATATGGTATCCATTGCATACAAGTACATTATTAGTTGCTATAATATCCATTATGACTCGTGTTTATTTATAGTTGTATATACATTATCATTATTATCTTTAATTTATCGATGAATACCAATAGTTTAATGAATCGAAAATATATAATGGGACAAAATATAATTATATATAACCAACGTAAACATTTTAATTTCTTATTTTATTGATAAATACATAATAAATTATACTTCCTCCTTTTCTTTTTAGTTGCAACGCACACTTATCACAATATATAAAAAAGAGCGGACCTCACATGATATAATACACTTAAAATAGGGTTAAGAGGTTGTTAGGAATATAATCAAGTGGGTCATGAGCTTTAAACAAAGGTAATATATAGTATGAGTACAATTTTCAACCTAAAAACCTTTCTTTTATGGTGTGTTGCAAATATTGTGACATTTTCATTTTAAAAAAGTGTTGCAACTATAAAAAAAACGGAGGATATAGGATAGTTAAAGTAAAAATATGATTACATGATAACTAATAAGTGAATAGCTCAAAATTACAAAGTTATATACGAAATATACATATGCTTCTAAAACATTGAAATTGAGGGTGATAGCCAATTAATAATCAACTCAATAAAAGACATTTGGGTATAGTATAGTCATTAGCAGATCCAACACATTATCGAAGGCACTCGTTCTTTTTTCACTCAATTTCACAATTGGATTATCCAACACACATTAAACTAAATTGTTAATGTAATTCATTTAGTATTTGGTAGTTGTAATAACTCTAAGTTTTTTTTTTTTCAAAATTCTTAGGATTTTCCACAATGAGAAAGACTAAGACCCTGTTTATTTGAGCTTCTGAGCAAAATAGATTTCAGCAGAGCTGTGTCAGTAGAGTCAGGTGTCAGCAGAGTAAAACAGATTATTAATACTTAACAATGCAGATTTTAGCAGAACTGAACATATCACAGCATCTCAAAAGAACGGGGCCTTATAATGTTTTACAAGGTAATGAATATTTGTCTACCTTTTCAATTACCAAAAAAAAAAAAGAAAAAAAAAACGGAGTACTGTACTTGGCAAATTTAAGAGCGGAGTAATTTTCTAGCTTGGGCTAAAACTCTAAGGCGTTGGAATGAGGGAGGGGGGTTAATCGTAATTTGTGCAACATAAAGTTAAGGGGAAATTGCAGTAAAAGGAAAGTAAAAGACCAATGTTTGTGTTTAGCGGGAAACAAGACGACCGATGACAAATATTGACCAATTCACTAATATTAACCGAAATAAGAAATGGCGGCAACCAACGTCAATGGCTTAAAGCAATGAATCAGCTCCCGCTCATGGCGCTCCCAACCTATCAACAAGGACTACATTATACTCCATACTACAGAGTATATAATTCAACAACATATTACATGATTAAATTATTTGTTTTTCATCAGTTAAAATTACAAATCAAAATAGTAGAAAAACAATTAAACCATTGTAATTAAAAAAAATAGAAAGAACATAAACTAATGAATTGAAACGCAAATGAAAAAGAAAGTGTATCCAATATGCATTTCGTTTTTTTCAACTCTTTTTTTAATTTCTTCTTTCTTTTTTAAACTGCATTTTAACTTCTTACCAACATTAATCATCTACCTAACATGTTAGTCATGTAGCCGAATCCGAATTCTAACCTCTAACTAGTATAAAACTCAAAGAACGAAAAATGCATGAAATCAGCAAAATTTATTTAGTAACCAATAGAAGAATACACCTAATGACCTTATTGACCTACCCCACTTGAAGTTGAAACTGTTAAAATAAAAGTTAGAGAAAATGACACTCCCAAACTCTTCTCCTCCCCACTTCCCCCCACCCCAAATAATTCACTCGATATTAAACATTTAAACCAAAAAATAAATAAAGTACATTATTTTCTTATCACTCATTCTTTATTAAAAAAAGTACTCTAAAAAATAAAAAAAAATTACGTATATTTATAAATAATAATAATAATAATAATAAAAAAAGGATATTGTTATTACCAAATCCCCCAATTTTCATCGACGATAATGCTCTACTCTGTGTAGCAGCCTTCTGCTATATCCCGACGACACTGTCTCTGCTGTCAAAGATTCTCTCTTTCTTTTCATTTTCTCTCTCCTCCTTCTTCTTTCTTCTTTCTCTCTCCTCATTGTTTCTCTGAAAACCCTAATTATGTTTCTCTCTCCTCAGATCTCCCTTTTTTAACTCCCCCCAAATCTTCATTTTCCCCCATTTTCCAATTTTTTTTATTACTAATTTAATCCCAAATAAAATTAAAATTGAAAAAAAAATACTTTAATGGGGTGTGCGAGCTCCAAGCTCGACGACCTCCCGGCGGTAATACTTTGCCGGGAAAGAGTAGACTTCCTTTCTCAGGCGTTACATCAACGGTACGCATTTGCTGAATCACACGTGGCGTACATCCACTCCCTTCAATCTGTCGGCGATTCTCTTCACCGCTTTTTCGATTCTTCCGCCGGAATTCCTCCGCCGTCGCCGGTCCTTGACCTCCCTCCTCAACGGAAACTCGCCGCCGACGATTTACCCCCAACGTCTGCTGCTCCTGCTATTGATTCCGGTCATCTCTCTCACTCTAATTCTGGGTCCCACCTTCATTTTCACACTGATTCCGATGATGACGACGACGATGATTCTGGGTCTGGTTCTCTTCACCACCATCTCCATGATTCCCCTCCTCGAAATTCTATTTTGATTGACGGAACTCCGGAAGCTGATGCCGGCGGCGGCGGAGGGTATATTCCGGGAGGTGGAGGGTATATTCCGGGAGCTGGTGGGTATATTCCGGGAAGTGGGTTTAATCCGTATATGTATACAAATGGAGGAAATGGGTATAATATGCAGATGAATTATATGAAGAAGCATGTAACGCCGTCTGTATCGTATGAACAGAGGCCGGTAAGTTATCAGACTGAGACAGTACAGTATGGTGATCCGTCTTCTTCTTCTTCAAGTAATTATTATGATTATTTTGGTGGTGGAGGTGGTTATGGTAATAATTATAATAATAGTATTAATAATAATTATAATAATAGTAATGGTAATATTAATAGTAATAGTAATGGGTATATGGATTATGGTGGTTATTTTGGGAATCAGGCCCCACCACAACCACCAAGAGGTGGTGGTGGATATGGTGGTTGGAATGGTGGGCCGCCGCCGCCGATGGGGCAAACAAAGCAGGCTCCACCACCACCTCCGCCACCGCCGCCTGCGACGTCGGCTTGGGATTTTATGAATTTGTTTGAGAGTATTGATAATCATTATACATCTTATACCCCTAGTAGGGATTCTAGGGAGGTGAGGGAAGAAGAGGGTATTCCTGATTTGGAGGATGAGGATAATCAGCATGAGGTTGTGAAGGAAGTTCATGGGCATCAGAAATTTGTTGATGATAGTAATAATGCTGGGGGTAGTGGTAGTGTGAGTGGTGGTGGTGGGGTGGGTGAGGGGAAGGGTGATTCGAAACGAGCTGAGGTTGAGGAGGTTGTTGGGGTGAGTGAGGGTGATGGTGGTTTGTATAGAGCAAGGCCTAGCGCGTCGTCGCCTGAGAGTACCCCGGTGGAGTATGAGGTTCATATGGTGGAAAAGAAGGTGGTTGGTGAGGAGGGGAAGTCAGAACAGCAAGGTAAAGGCGGTGGAAGGCCAGGATTTAAGAATGTTTTTGAAGTTGTGAGGGAAATTCAGGTGCAATTTGAGAGGGCTGCCACTTCTGGGGGTGAGATTGCTAAGGTGCTGGAGGTTGGTAAACTCCGGTATCAAAGAAAGAATGCAGCTTACCAAGGTTAGGAGATTGCATTTTACATCAAGTTGTTATATTTGTGAGTTATTATTGTTTCTTAATTGCTTAAATTGTTTGGTTTTTACCAGGGGATATAAGATTATTAATTCATTTTAATTGGCATTTGTGGTTTGTGAAACAGTTTCTACAAAGATGCTGAATGTGATTACTCCATCATTACCCTCTTCATCGAAAGACGAGGCTTCTCTAGACCTTGATGAAGCTGTGCAATTACGATCAGCTAATCTTTCAGCTACCTTGCAAAAATTGTATCTTTGGGAGAAGAAACTCTTTGACGAAGTCAAGGTATATACACTTTCATTTTCACCAAATAGTTAATATTTGACCTGGTTTATGCTTATTAATACAATCATTCAAGATTTTGATGGGAAATTGTACTGTACTGTTGATCTGTTGTGTTTTATTTGTTGTTATGCTTAACGGTTCTTCGAGAATCAGGATCTGTTATTTCCAATTTGGGGCTTTTCTATAAAAAAAATTGTTAAATTTGATTGTTAGATAGATTTGATTGTAAATTGTAATGCAAAAGGTTGTTTGGGTAATGGTAAAGGATGTCTTTGTGTTGTGACTGTAGCTACAATTCTAATTTTGCCACGTGGTTGTTAATTAGGTATCATGAAATGGTTAGATTGTGAAGAAAATGTAGTTGGATAATATGGGTGGGTTGAGAGTTTGATTTGGGCAAGCAATTGTGATTTTGTACTGAGTTTGGTTTGCAAAGTAGACTTCCACACTTACTAAATTAATGTTTTTTTTTTTTTTTTTTTTTTTTTTTTTATGACTGTCCCTTCCTATACTATAGTATACTTGGTCAAGAAATGCACAAAATTTAATTTTGGCAGCACATATTTTTTTTCCTGATTCAATGCATGACGAATTGTTGTGTGCAAATTTATTTCCTAATAATGCTGATGCATGATGAAGTCAATTAAGCTGCCGAAAAAGTTCTATTTTATTACATCTGCTTTCTTTGCTGTTGTACCTCTTTTTTGTGGTCTTTAATGTATTTCTGACTCTATTGCTCTCCGGACTGATAAATCTATCTGGTCTTATGTGGTACATGAGCTTCAAAATTTTAACTACGCGTTTAGTGTTTGTAATTCTGTTTGAATACTTATATCTGATACTATACATAGTTGTTGCTAGAGTAGAATCTCTTGGTCTCTGACCTATCATTATGAGTCAAGCAATTTTTTGAGTGGAGATTTTTCAGTTGTATGTTCTATGCTTTTATGTTTCAATCTGGATTCATATATTGGTTAGGTGTTTTGGTGGGGGTGGGACTGTGGGAGGGTTGGGGGGGGGTGGGGGGTGTGATTTACGCTGCCTTTCAATTTTAGTAATTCTTTCAGATTGCCGAATCTGCTGTTGTATTTTTTCATTGATGATGAATAGTTTGGTTCATCTCTGTACCCAAAGGTCAATTCTTCATGTAGTCATGCGTTCTCTGTACAGGCTGAAGAAAAAATGAGGGTTTCACATGATAGAAAATTGGCAAAATTAAACCATTTGGTCGAAAAAGGTGCTGAACCCACCAAGATAGAATCAACAAGAAGCGTGGTGAGGAGTCTGTCCACAAAGATAAGAATTGCAATTCAAATCGTTGACAGGATCTCAGTAAAAATAAATAAGCTCAGAGATGAAGAGTTGTGGCCTCAGTTGAATGAGTTAATTCTAGGGTAAGTGATTTTTATCAAGTTTTTCTTTCTGTTGTTTGTTTGATTGTCTATGTTTATACACCGATTAAGATAGTTCACTGCAGCTTTAAGACTATTATGAGAAGGCATCATTGAAAAAAATGGAAGAAAGCCATTATTAATATTCTACTTTCAGACGAGACCACAAAAAAATATTGCATGTTCTTGCACCGATACTCCTCTCTCTTGTCAAAAATCTCTTCATGAGAGGATGGAGAATTGGTACATGCAATAAGTTCTTCCATCCACTGCTTAATTTTGTTAATTTTGTTCTCATACTTTCTCACTGTGTGTTCCACTCCTATAATTTGATATGCTGATTATTGGATTGATACTTGAGCTAGTCTCTAGGTTAAAGTATTGCACCTGGTACAAATAATTAAATTTTGTGCTGGTAGCGTGTTGGCCCTGTATTTTAGTTGCTTTCTCGAGGATGTAGATAAAAATCATAACATAGGTACTGTTGTACAGTAAGAGATAGCTCTGAGGATAAATGCACTCATGTCCCATTTTAGTCTCGTTCTCATGGATTAGCTCATTAGCATCAATCCACATTGGCCGTAACAATATGTTGCCGTGGCATTCTGGAATTTTTCCTTGTCACTAATTTTATGAGAGATCTGTAAATGAATGACCTGAGTTACCTCTTGCTTCAGTTCAACACCAGTGCTGCCGCAAGGGAACATATGACTACAATATGGACATAGAATCATTTCTAGCATAAATTTAATGATGACTGGCGTCGGTATGATTTTCTCTTGTTGTACATTTAGAATGCAGGCTTAGACATTTGTAGTTTGTACATAGTGTCATGGGTAGAGATGGGTTGTCGTTGAAAATAGTATCAGAGACTTGAAGCTAAGGTAATATTTTGAGCAAGTTCAGCCTTGAAGAATTCATACTTGGAATTTTTTTTTTTTTTTAAAGTAATCCTTTTAAGTTAGTAATGAAATCTGTATTTGAGGGATTATTTAACTGAAATATTGGTACTTGGTGCCTAGTTGAGGGTTGAAGCTTCTCTTCTGAAAGCTTATTGACACATTGTGTAGCAGCTATTCTTGAGTCTATTTGTGGGTTGGTAGGTCTTTTCTGTGATTTGGGTTGCTTGATCATGTGCTTAATCCTTTCTCAATTTAGAAACTTTCAACATTATCATGTATCGATCAATTGCTGCAAAGTTTGTAATTCTTCATATTTTGCTTTCCTATGAAATACTGTGGCCTGCTGGCTAACTTTGACTTTTTTCTTATTCTTTCTTCAGCCTGAGTAGAATGTGGAAAGCCATGCTTGAATGCCATCATAGTCAGTGCGAGGTGATTGACGGGGCAAGGGGTCTAGATGCAATTGCATTTCCTAGCAATCCCACCGACACGCATCTGGAAGCTTCCTTGCAGCTTGAACATGACCTTCTAAATTGGACATACCGGTTCACTGAATGGATTGGTGCGCAAAAGGGTTATGTCAGAGCCTTAAATCTTTGGCTTCTAAAATGTATTTTGAATGAACCCGAAGAAACAGCTGATGGAATAGCTCCTTTCTCACCTGGAAGGGCAGGGGCACCTCCAATCTTTGTTATATGCAACCAGTGGGATCAATCATTGGAAAGAATATCAGAGACATCTGAGAAAAATTTGATTGATTCAATGCGTGTGTTTGCCATGATAGTTTTACACTTCAGAGAACGGGACAAAGGTGAACTACGGCAGAGAATGACAGCAAATAGAGATATGGAGAGGAAAGTTAAGAACTTGGAGAAAGAAGATATAAAAATGCAAAAGAAGATGGTTCTAGCTTCTGGGGACTCTGATGGTCTCTCCTTATCTGGCAATGTTGTTTATCAGAGTGATACCAGCAGCAAGACTAGTTTACAGGCTGGTCTACGACATGTATTTGAAGCCTTGGATAGGTTTACAACAGATTCCGTGAAAGTTTACGAGGAGCTCCTTCAACGCACTGGAGAGGTGTTACGAGAACATGGAAATGTTTCATAGTTGACATTGCAGTAGAATCGCGTTGATCTAAAATTCTCAATACTTGCTTGTTGAATCTGCAGTATGCTGTTCCTCGGTGTCTTGTGCAGCAACACCCTGAAATTAAAGCAAGAGCTTTGGCTTTGGTGAGGAGTTGGATAGCCATTGCCTAAGCAGGTAAATCGTAATTATTTGAATTTTGTAATGATAGGAGCTATAGTTTAGGACTTTCTGGGTTGGGGGGACGCAAGTCTTGTCTTTGTAAGTGCCCAGAATTTAGAGATGTACCGTGTATAGAAAATCTTAGGGATCAGGTGTAAGAGTTATTTAGTTGTACAGAATCTTGGAGACTGACATTGAGGCCTATTTATTACATACACCGATAGGAAGTTCTTCTGGAACTAGTGATTGAAATTTGTTGTTGTTATTCATAATAAAGCGGTTTTGGTTCCCTTGAATTGATTATTATTATGCAGCTTGTGTTCATTTTTTGTAGCCATTCTAGTTTTACCAGCATTTGGACAACCTGCAAGAAATTGGAACTCTTTAAAGACTTCAAAAAAAATGGGAGAAACTGGTGTCTTTGTGCATGTTATGGCAGTCAACTAGACATACACTCACGCATACGGCATACCAATCATTATTAAGTGATGATTTTGGTCAATGTATTATCCCGTTTCACCCTTTTCATTAATTTTCCAACAACAAATTCACATCCATAATTCCCCAAATTCTCATTCCCACATGCCAAGCCAAGCGCCCTAACAATGAGTCAAAAAAAAAAAAAAATTTCTTATGAAAACTCCCTTCTTTACTTGAGTAGAACTTTTGGTATATCATGTGATTAACATTTTGTGTAATGATATGTTTTGACCAATATTAGCTTTTACTCCCTCTATTTCGTAATAATTGCAACATTTTAATTTTTACATTATTTATATGTTTACTTTGGCTATTTTTTATTTTATCAATTTATTAAAAGTATATATTGCCATGTAATATAATCTTGGATTAGTTTTTATGTATATTTTCATTAGACCATGCTTTTATACTTCTTAATAATATATAATTACAAATATTAATGGTCAAAGTTGTGCATCGACATGTGTGCCAATTAAAGCGTTACGATTATTATGAAACGGAGGAAGTAGTCTATTTCTGAACTCACGATTGACTAACAACTAATGTTGCTCATTTTGAAAGCATTTGAGAATAATATATTGATGTGTCCGAGAAAGAATACCTATCTTTGAAAATTGCAAGGAAATATTATGTACGGAATATATGTTAAGGTGATTATGTTTTTTTTACCAGGATTAAAGTTTGTTAGTGGTCTAAATACACAACATGACTAATAAATTTGTGTCTCTCCTACTTTTTCATTTGTTATAGCAGCTTAATATCTTTCTATCTTCTAAAAATTATCATCATATGTTTTTGTATGAAACAATGTCATTGTATGTTTCATATTTTTGATCCATATTTCAATAAGACAAATGGTAATAATTAATCTAATATTTAAATAACATAAAGAAAATTAGATTATATAGACATGTGAATGATGTGATAATGATAAGATTAGATGACAAATTGTCCATAGAATAAAGAGCTAAACGACTGAACTTTCATAATCAAGAGGTTATTTCTCACTCAAAGACAAATGGAAGACGCAAGAAAGCCGAAATAAAGCCGAAATACGCAAATCCTTTCCATGGTTTCATACTTCGGCCCAATGTTTCAAGATGGTGCACATTGTATGAAAAAAAAACCCAATAAAAAAGGTATCTTTTTGTGCTCAATAATGAGCCTAACACAGTCCTATTCAAGATTTCAAATCCAAGCACCATCTAGGACAGTTCGATATCCTAATACTAAGTGGATGATTAACTAGTTTAGTTAGTTAAAGTTTTAAAGGGTGTTATTCAAAATCTGATATCAGTGTCTAAATAATTAGTTCTTATGCCTCCCCCCCCCCCCAAAAAAAAAAAAAAAATCCTAATACCCACCTTAGTTGCACAAGGCATTGATTTTTACCATCCCTCGTAAGTATTAACCTATGAAAATTGCAATCACTTACGAAGTACTATCTCCGTTTTTTTAGTTGACACATTTTGACTTTAGCACTATTCACTCACTCCCCTTTGGCCGTGTTTTGTGCTTTATACATAATGAAAAATATAATCATGTGAGATTTTGTTAGATTCGTCACGATATATATTTTCAAAATATCAACCTTTTATAACTTTTGTTTATCGGTAATTAAAGATATTAATGGTTAAAGTTGTGCATTGGCAAACGTGCCTAAAGAAACGTGTCAACTAAAAAGAAACGGAGGAAGTATAACACATACTTTCTCCATCATTATATAACGTAGCAATACTTCTTTTGGTTTTTGCTATCTCAATGCATAAATTTAGACATTGAAATCTGCGGTTATCTATTATTAAAATTATTGATTGAAAATTGATATTTTGAAATATGTATTGAGCCCGTCAAACAAAAAAAAAAATGCATCGAGACTAATTTAGTAATATTCCACATGATAGTGTTATTTGTATATTGAATGAATAAAATGATGATAGTGCCAAAAATTTTAACAAATTAAAGAAAACCCTGAAGGAAGTATATAGTTATGTAATTACGGAGTATAAAAACAGAGAAAGTATGTACTAGGAGTACTAAGTATCTTTGAAAGCATATATGCAAAATGAAGTCAAAAACGTTACGGCATCCATCCCATCACCAGGCAACGATTATCATTATCCCATTGAAAAAATTAAATAAATGGGTGATTATTGAATCTTTAGTACCCATTAAGGTGTGGTGTATAGAAATATAACATCTCATGTTCCTACCAAAGAAATAATTAGCCTAGTTGAAAGAAAAAAGTGGGTTGACAAACAAAAATCCATCGTCTTAAATCTTAATTATTACATCTTTCATTAGAAAAAAAGATAGAATTTGGAGTAATTCACTATTAAGATGGTCCAAAGCAAAAATTCTTAAACAATATTGTACAAAAAGTACAAAATGGTGGTCCATTAGCCATCTCATATAATCGAGGATGTCAATTTTTGCTTTGTTGTTGTGTTGGAAGACTAACCTATTCTCAAATCGACAACTTCTTACTAATTTTTGTCAATTAAAAAGCACATCTAAATTAGGGATGAGTTTAAGCATCGGACATATACAAGTATTTTGTTGACATTAATATCACAGCGTAAGTAATCGAAAATGACTTATGAGTTATAATGTAACACATGCTCAATTATTCATGTATGTTAACAAATTGTAACAACACCACCTATCTCGACTTACCATGAATAAATGTGAGTAGTATCATAAGCGCTCTCGCCACTTAGCTTGGTAATGTTAATTTTAATGAATCTTAATTATCGAACTACAGAATCCCAACACAATGTTGATATGGCAAAAACCGTATCATATCCAACGAATGACATGCTTCGCTTTCAAGGCAACAATCATTCACTAACCTACTAACATTTGTCAATTACTCCATAATGTTTGAATTTAGCCATTTGAGATAATGCTGTATGAATACTCTCTTAAAAAGGGTACTCCAAATCTTTTTAACTCAATCAATCTCAAGTTACACTCGTTTGACATAAAAGGATATTTCAATAAAAATTACTTGTCATGCTTTACTTTCTCTTTTTTACCATCATTGATTATTGTCACTTTTGCCTTTTGTTCTACTCAAATTAACTTCTTGTCTAACTAAGAGTGAGGATAGCTCAGTCGGTAAAAGCTTTTCTTCCGATTTCAGGTGATTTTGGGATTGATTCTCATCCCCGCCCTAAATGGCTTATATGAACCAAAAAAAAACTTCTTGTCTAACTATTAGTCTATTAAAGGGGGATTATTCTAGCTAAATCTTCTTCAAAAAGGCAATCATATATTCATATTGTATGTATAGGGGAAGGAAAAAATATCGGATGCTTTTAATAAAAACCCTTATAATAAGTTTAGTAAGTCATGCTTTATAAAAATGACAATAAATAAAATTACTATTTTTACATTATAACTATTGGCCGAATTTAAAATTATTTATAGTGATTAAATGGTCCTAACGATTAAAAGACACTATTTACGCGAATAGGAAATACAACATCATAATAATCAAGATATATAGGTTAATAGTGAATTTATAATTTAAGCCAATAAAAAATCCATAATGGAGATTGGAGAATATGTTCTTGCTCTTTATTTTGAGTGTAATAATGTACAAGTGTACCCTAGCTAGCTTAGCTTAGCTATAGCTACAAAAACTAGAGAATCCAATGATGATCACGGAAGATAATTAACAGGTAAAAACTATATTAGCTGTCCACTTTCATTTGCTAATACGAAGTACTAGATTTAATTATGCGCAGCAATATTATTAAAGGTAACCTCATTATATTAATTCATTAAATTAATAAATAATCTTTAATTATAAAATCATTTGACTTAATTGCTTTGGATCACCCACTTTTAAGGAGGGACTTGTATATATTTTCAGGGGCTTAGCCCCTCGTTTGCACAAAAAAAAAAAAAAAAAAAAGAAAAAAAAAAGGAGGGACTTGTATATTGATCAAGGTACCACTATTTTCATGGTTGTATAAATTGTGACACGTATTCATATGTTGTGATACCTTCGAATACAACATTTTTATTGTACGGACCAACTCTTTAATTTGTTCTTCACCCTCAAATATTCTATACTCATGACTCATATGGCTAAAAAGCTATGTTTACTATAAACTTTTTGAAGAAGAAATAAACTTTAAACACCAGTTTTAGTTTATTGATGGAAAGGAAATAATAATACGGAGTAGTCTCTTCTTTTAATTACAATATCATACTTTTTTGTGTTAGCCAAACACTGTATGATTTTATTATCTTGAACCCAATGTAAACTAGAAACTTCAGTTTCTTATAATTCTTTTTTTATTTTTTATTTTATTTTTTCAATTCTAAATTTAGATTAGCATAATTTTGAAATGTATTGCGTTTGATGAAACTCGGATTTATTTCCAAGAACACATTCGACTAGGAAATTACAAAGTGAAGAATATCAATAAAATAATAATAATGATATGACAAATGAATATATAAGATGAAGAAAAGTAAAAACTGAATGAGTGAGCATGAAAACATAGTGCATCAAGGATGAAGACACAATACGAATAAATGGCAACAACCTTGACCTACGGCAAAGGTAAACTCATCACATCTTTTAAACAAGTGTTGTACTTTTATAGGAAACCCCAAAGACTCTTGTTGAAATCACCTATCTACGGAGTATCACGTTGTTTCCTTTATTTTGCCCTTTATTTTTTTTTTTTTTTTTTACTAATAACAGTATACTTTGTAAATAAATTCATTTAATTTATACTTCGTACTTCTTATAAATTGTATTAGTAACATACGTTTATTCATATATGAAAGGATCTAATCCTATACACTTCGTATTTCATACATATGTGTAATTGCTGATTTTGTTTTTAAGGTAGGTAAGATGAGTTGTCCTATCGGATTGTAACCTCTCACAGGTCAATCCGATCGAGTTGTAGGCTAAACACTTTAAGAGTACGGAGAAAGGGTAAGGGAAATAACAAATAACTATTATCAAAGTGTCCTTAATAAAAAATGAACTCCCAACTCCCAACCTCAAGGTTGAAAAACTCAATCCTTACTTTTCTGCCAAACTTTGCTTGGTACATATACTTGCTTAATTAGTTTATACGAAGTAATTTTTTAGAGATAATCTGGGAGCAAATTCTACT